CAGGCATCCATCCCACTTAGCATACCTTATACTAAAACTCCCTCAACACTTTCATCTTTTGACCTTGCTACTACCAAAGAGGTCACTAAGATTTTCTCAGAAGCCCGTCTCACTGCCTGCCCCCTGGACCCTGTCTCCTCACAACTACTACAGTCACCCTCTTCTTTCATCCTATGCTCCCTCACTCACATCTTCAATCTTTCTCTCTCTACTGGTGCCTTCCCCTCTAAAGCATGTGCACATCACTCCCATACTTAAAAAGCCCTCCCTGGACCCCACCAACTTAACAACTTAAGACCCATCTCCCTACTGCCATTTACCTCTAAACTCCTAGAACGCTTAGTCTACAACCGCCTGAGCTCCCACCTCATGGATAACAACCTTCTTGACCCTTTACAGTCGGGCTTTGGCTCACTACACTCCACTGAAACTGCTCTACTAAAACTCACTAATGATCTACTAACTGCTAAAACCAATGGCCACTACTCCGTACTCTTACTACTTGACCTCTCTGTGGCTTTTGATACGGTTGACCATCCCCTCCTCCTCAAAAAACTCCACTCTCTTGGCCTCAGAGACTCTGCTCTCTCCTGGTTCTCCTCCTACCTATCACAGCACTCCTTCAGTGTTACCTATAACGCTGCCTCCTCCTCTCCACTTCCTCTTTCTGTAGGGGTCCCTCAAGGTTCTGTCCTTGAACCCCTTCTCTTCTTCATCTACACCTCCTCCCTTAGTCACTTGATAAACTCCCATGGCTTTAAGTACAATCTCTATGCTGATGACACACAAATCTATCTTTCTACCCCTCACCTCATCCTTCAGTCTCCTCTCACATTACTAACCTACTAAGTGACATATTGGCATGGAATGTCACTCCACTTCCTCAAATTCAATCTTTCCAAAACTGAGCTCATAGTATTCCCCCCAGCCCGTGCCCCCTCCCCTGACTTCTCCATCAAGATCAATAACACAATAATCAGTCCCTCCCCTCATGCCAGGGTACTAGATGTAATCCTAGACTCCCATCTGTCCTTTCAGCCCCAAATCCAATCACTGTCCAAATCTTGTGACTTCACCTCCGCAACATCTCCAAGATACGCCCGTTCCTAACCTCAGAAACTACTAAGCAACTTATTCACTCCCTTATTATATCTCGTCTTGACTATTGTAACTCCCTCCTCATTGGCCGACCTCATCGCAGGCTATCCCCTCTTCAGTCTATCATGAATGCTGCTGCCAGAATCATCCACCTTACTAACCGTTCTCATTAAAAATGACTGAGGGACTCATCAACGCAGATGTTTTGCTGGGGAGTATAGACATCTGCAAATGTTTAGTTAAGGTGATTACTAGATATTTCTACTATAGGGTGGCGCAGAAGCAGTTCAACATGTACAGTAAAAAAATAAATAAATACAATTTTGTCATAAATTTAGGCCAAAATGTATGCTGCAACATGTCATGTAAAAAAAAAAAATCCCAATACATGTAAATTATTTGTTTTACGTGAAAGAGGGGGGGTGCTTCACTGTAAAAGCACACTTCTCTGGATGGCTCTGCTCAGCCATCCAGTGAAGTGTGCCCAAGCTGACAGGGAGGAGGGATGTTGGTAAACAAAGCAGCCCTCCTCCCCATCGGTGATTCTCGGCAATCACCATGCACCGGAAGGTAATCACCGGCCGGGACCAGGTGATTGACACCCGGGGCTGCGATCTGCGGAGCGGGTAGGGCGGTCACACGCCTCATGCGCCCCCTCCCACCCGGAAATGCAAAAAAGTAAATATACATAATTTTGCGCACCTGTACCGCCATGTAGCAGTATATCTGTTATACGGCGGTGGGTATTAAAAGATTTGTCAAAAACTGTTGTTTTGTGTTCAATTAAAGATGCTAATGAGCCTGTCTGCCAGCAAACCCCCATAACCACCGGGCCAGGGTTGTGTGGAAGAGGCCCTTGTCCCCTCCAAAGCTGATGGCACATGGCCTGGTAAGGTGCAGGGGAGGTCGCTCAATTCTACCCCCCCCCCCTTTCCTGCCCTGCCAGACCTGTGCTCGGATCAAGGGTCCAGTTGGAATTTAGGAGGGAGTAGGGGTGGACTGACAACTCATGGGGCCTCCGGCAATAGAGGATCATGGGGCCCCTGTGTCCTTGCCCAAACTCAAAAAAGCCTATGAAAAAGATACCAGGGGCATCTCATGGGGCCCCCTACTGACCCTGGGCCCTCGGGCAGTGGCTGAGCTTCCAAATGGTCAGTCCGCCCCTGGGAGGGACTTCACACATTTTCCCCCATTTGTTTTTTTTTTTTTTTTTCAGGGAGAGTATTCTCCCCTCTGTCTTCGCCTGTGTTAAGCAACACCCTGCATAAGGCATAAATGTGATACAGAGGATCTGTGATGCAGATGAGAACTGACATATTCAGAAGGCGTGAGTCTCCCAGGATTCTGGTGACAACCCAAAACTGGGCAAATTCCTTTACTTTCACTCTACCTGATAACAGTAAACAGGGAAAAAAGAGAAGGTGAATCTATCGAATGGGGCGCAGGGAGCAGGAAAAAACTGTTTACCCTTTCTCATCTTCTACCCAAAACTGATTTTTTTTTTTTTTACAATAGTTTGCCGATTGTTCCTATTATTCTATTCATTTCTTACAAAGGCAGAGTGTGCAGAGGGAATAGGAGGGGGGGGTTAGGGGGGGGGGAGGGAAAGGGGGGGGGGGGGGGTTGTCTTGGTGTCTGTGAGCTTATGACAATGTAACACTAGCTGAGGTACATCTTAAAACATCTGGGGATGGGGGGGGGGGGGGGGGATGTGCCAAAGCAATTTCCAGGTAAAGCTTTTGATGTATTCTTTATTTTCTCCAATCAGTTTATTCCTCGCAGTTATTACCTTTTGTCCACCAGCCCCTCTGTACTAGATTGTAAGCTCCCTGGAGCAGGGCCTCCTAACCCTCTTGTATTGAATTGTATTGTTGCTGTATTGTCTCCATTTATATTTTTTTACAGCACTGCACAAAGTGTTGGCTCTATATAAATCCTGAATAATAATAATCATCAGAAAATATTAATAATAATACGATTCCCTTCTTGCTCTAAGCAAAAGGGGGACACCCCGATCCACCACACGGCAGATAATAAAGGTCTCATCCTGAAATGATCTCTTGGGGAATCGAATGTTGATGGATTGCAACAATGTATCAAGAAGAGCAGAAAAGAGAAACATTTTAAGTGACAACAAAATCCTTCCCGTCTATGTGTGTAAAATATAGTGACACCTAATGGGAGTGTTGAGCATTGCAGCCAATCATCCCATCCCCCCAATGTGCAGGTTAGTCCGTCCCGGATAGAGAGGAGCCGAGCTTTGTGGATAGAGAGGAGCGGTGCTCTTGGGGGGGGGGGAGCGTTGCATGACAGCTGACATATTCATCAAAGGGGTGAAGTCTCCCAGGTGATGTATTTATCTCTTTATGGTCATATTCTGGTGACCATCAACAGTTAAATACATTTGCAATATTCCTTTACTTTCCCTCTACCTGATAACACTAAACAGGACAAAGACCGAAGATGGAGCGCAGAGAGCAGAAAAAACGCTGCAATCCTCATTGTCCAACATGGAAACCTTTATTGTTTGTTTTTGTTTTTTGTATTTATTTTTCTGTACTTTAAAAAGTGTGCATTTTCAATCCTTGCCCTCAATGCCACATGAAAACAAACACAACAAAACAATCTATATAGGTTAGTTTGGGGACAAAGGTGTGTGTGTGTGTGTGTGTGTGGGGGGGGGGGGGGGGGGGGGGTACATGTCTTCCCTGTGACTTCTAGGGCACTAGGCCATGGCTTATCTGGGGAGGGGATTGTATCCGGATTAGAATCATTGTAACAAGTGAATCCTGTCGGCGATACTTTGTTGTTTCAGGTCCATCGTTTGGTGTATTCCCTTCTTGTCGGGGCAATTCTTTCTCCTTGGACTGAGGAGAAGGGAACACCCTGGAGGCTTTTACATGTTAGTACAAAGAAAAGAAGTGTCAGGGTCAGTAGACATGTGTTGGTCTTAGAGGAACCCCACCGCTCATTCCCCTCCAAATAGCCGACATTTCCTCTCCACATTCCCCACATGATAGACAAGAATGGGATTTGCAGCAAACTTCCTATTCCTGAAATGATCTCTCAGGGAATCCAAATGTGATGGATTGACTTCCATCACTGAAAGCATCAAATCCTATTGTAGATCCGAGGATTCCGAGCAAACCTCCCCCCTGAGCAGTCTATGGAGCTGTGGAGTGAAATGCGGCAATCAAGTCATTGGCAGGATTTGGCTCTCAATGTCCATTTGTGATGATGATCCAATAATGACCCCTAGGCCATGACACGTGACACCCTGTAATGGGCGGAGCCCTTTGTATCTGTCCCAAAAATGTCTGCCATGACAGGACACAAGGATCTCCTGTGATCGGCCGATGTTTTTGTTCCCGGCTCCTTGTAGTCAGCTAGAGATGAGCCGAGTTGTGTATTAGAGGGAAATGTTTTTGGCGATCTCCCCTCTTCCCTCGTGTAATGTGAAGCGGATTGTAGTGGGGGATGGGAGCAGATTGTTTTGTGGGTAGAATGTGTCCCCCCAAGCAGGTAGAAGGCAGAATGGGCCCCCCACTCCGGAGGATGGTTGTGTTTGCAGCCTCTGGCTGTGTTCAGCCTCGTGAGCAGCTCCTGACAGCTGGAAGTGACCCCCGATAAGTGACAGTCCAGGGAGCAGATCGGCTCCCCGGTGCACATCGGACATCGTTCTATTTCGGAATAAAATCGGTTTTATATCTACCGGGAAACACATGAAGGGAGAGAATATACTCCAACACTGGGATGACAGCCAGTGGGCGTGTCTGATGTGTAACCAATAGCAGGACAGAGTGGAGTTGTGTGTCAACCAATCGCAGTGTTAGAAGGTCTGTATATAAAGGCGGAGCGCCGTGTGATTTGTAATGAACTATTGTGGAAACATTTCCCGAGTCATGACGGAGACTGAGAGCGCCCCAGCCGCCGCTCCTCCAGCGGAGGCCGCCGCCAAGAAGAAGCCGGCTAAGAAGGCGTCAGCCGGAGGAGGAGCCAAGAAAGGCATCAAGAAGGCGTCCGGTCCCGCCGTGTCCGAGCTCCTCGTCCAAGCCGTGTCCGCTTCCAAGGAGCGCAGCGGGGTGTCCCTGGCCGCCCTGAAGAAGGTCCTGTCCGCCGGAGGATACGATGTGGACAAGAACAAGAGCCGCCTGAAGATCGCCCTCAAGGCGCTGGTGACTAAGGGGAGCCTCGTCCAGGTCAAAGGCCATGGGGCCTCCGGATCGTTCAAGATCAACAAGAAGCAGCCCGACGGCGCCAAGGCGAAGCCCAAGAAACCGGCCGCCAAGAAGAGCAACAAGAAGCCATCGGCTGCGGCCAAGCCCAAGAAACCGGCCGCCAAGTCCCCCCCAAGAAGAAGGCGGCCGGCAAAGCCCCCACCGCAGCCAAGAGCCCCAAGAAGAAGCCGGCCGCCAAGAGACCAGCAAAGGCTGCCGCCAAGAAGGTGACCAAGAGCCCCAAGAAGAGCAAAGCTGCAGCCAAGCCGAAAAAAGGCGCCAAGAGTCCCGCTAAGGCCAAGCCGGCAGCTAAGAAGGCGGCTAAGCCCAAGAAGGCCGCTCCGAAGAAGAAATAATGGGCGGCGACCTCCTTCATCTCCACCCCCCAAAGGCTCTTCTCAGAGCCCCCCACCTCCTCCCAACAGAGCTCTCCATACACTCACCGACATCGCTGAGTGCGCACTGCTCCGCATGTCATCTTTCCCCGATATAGAAGATCTGATCGAAATTAATCTGACAATTCCCTCAAACTGCGGGGGGGGGGGGGGGACGACGACTAAAAATTCACATTTCTTCTAGTTGATCGTTTCAGGATTTCATGCGGCCATTCTGAACGTTCTAAGGAGAATCCTAATGATTGGGAGACGCATCATCCTCTGGATGGGTTAGAATGATCAGAAACAAGCTGTGAGCTCAGTTTTGGAAAGATTGAGTTTGAGGAAGTGGAGTGACATCCATGCCGCTATGTCACTTAGTAGGTTAGTAATGCGAGAGGAGACTGAAGGGGTGAGGTGAGGAGTAGAAAGATAGATGTGTGTCATCAGCATAGAGATGGTACCTAAAGCCATGGGAGTTTATCAAGTGACCAAAGTAGGAGGTGTAGATGGAGAAGAGAAGGCGTCCAAGGACAGAACCTTGAGGGAGTGAAGAGGAGGAGGCACGTTATAGGTAATGCTGAAGGAGTGCTGCAATAGGTAGGAAGAGAACCAGGAGAGAGCGGAGTCTGAGGCCAAGAGTGGAGTATTTTGAGGGGGTGGTCAACAATATCAAAAGCCGCAGAGAGGTAAAGTAGTAAGAATACAGCGTTGTGGCCATTGGTTGGGATGAGTATGGAGTAGTGCCCATTGGTTGGAATGAGTATGGAGTAGTGCCATTGGTTGGGATGAGTATGGAGTAGTGGCCATTGGTTGGATGAGTACGGAGTAGTGGCCATTGGTTGGGATGAGTACGGAGTAGTGGCCATTGGTTGGGATGAGTACGGAGTAGTGGCCCATTGGTTGGGATGAGTACAGAGTAGTGGCCATTGGTTGGGATGAGTATGGAGTAGTGGCCATTGGTTGGGATGAGTACGGAGTAGTGGGTTTTGGTTGGATGAGTACAGAGTAGTGGCCATTGGTTGGGATGAGTACGGAGTAGTGGCCATTGGTTGGGATGAGTAGATCATTAGTTGGGATGAGTAGTAGTGGCCATTGGTTAGTGGATGAAAGTACAGGAGTAGTGGCCCATTGGTTGGGATGAGTACAAGTAGTGGCCATTAAGCGTTGGGAATTAGAGTGATCGGGGTAGTGGCCATGGGTTGGATGTTCAGTACGGTGTAGGAGGCCATTTTAAGTATGGCAGTGATGGCAGTAGCACGGCCATTTTGGCTAAGATCAGTTAGTAAATCTGTTTTAGTTGGGCAGTTTCAGTGGAGTGTAGTGGCAAAAAGCCAGACTAAAGGGTCAAGAAGGTTGTTGTCAGTCTACAATCGTGGTATGAGCTCCTACCTCACTAAGCGTTCTAAGAGTTTAGAGGTAAATGGGGCCAGGGAGATGGGTCTTCTGGGAAGTTGTTCAGTTGGCGGGGACTGATCCGGAGGGGGGACGCAAAAAGTTTAAGTATGGGGAGTGATGTGTGCACAGTGGTGTCACTAGTAACACTTGGGTGTGGGACCCCACGGTGTGATGACACATGGCCACTGTTTTTCACTTCTTTTTGCACAGCGCCCTAAGGACCAGGCCTTTTGGCTAAGTCCGGGGCAATTTTTGCTACAGGCCTCAGGGCCTGGTCTGTGCACTATTTGGCACGGTACCACTTTTTTATTTTCTATTTATTTAATTTAATCACTCCCATGTCTTGTCACTTTTTTCTTTACTTATGTGTGTGTTTTTCACAGATGGAGGGTGTGGGTCCTCGGGCCTATCCTGAAGTCTAGGGGGAGGATGTGTGGCCTTTTGGTTCCTTTCTCCCCCCTGATTCCTAGGGGGTTTTCTCTTCGGGAGAACCCCCTTGCCTAGTACTGGATGTCCGGCTTTGGCTGGGCATAAGGAACGGTGGTCCACCAGGCCTTTTGGCCAGGAGGACCAAATGGGAACCTTGTCCCTGTCAGGAGCTTCGTGCCCCGGGGGATCAGGTGTAACGGTCCAACCCTTTTGTTGGTAGGACAAACACACCCCTAAGTGCACTTTTTCGTGTGGTGTTCGCACTTGCACATTTTTTGTGATCACTTACGGGTTTTTCGTTGTAGTTTGCACGTTTGCGGACTTAAAAAAAAAAAAAAAAAAAGTGATGTGTGCACAGTATGGTATGATGGGGGTCCGGAAGGCTAGTACCGGGGGACAGAAACCGGGGGTGCCACGAGTTATGCTGGGGGTTCCGGGAGTAATTCCTCCGAGAAGACTGGAAAGACCCAGTACCTCCTGATTTGGACGGATCTACCTTGGTGGCCAGGGGCTGAGAAGGCAGAGAGTCCGCAAACACAGTGCCCCCTGAGTAGTCGCCTCAGGGGTGCTCTGAGTAGCACTTGGGTGTGGGACCCCACGTTGCGAATGAGCACATGGTCACCGAGTTTAAACACTTTTTGCACTGCGCCTCTAGGACCGGGCCTTTTGGTCAAGTTCTGGGCATTTTTTTTGCTACAGGCCTCAGGGTCTGGTCAGTGCACAATTTGGGCACGACACGTTTTATTATTTTTATAGATTTATTTATTTAATTATTTATTTTCCTTCACCCCACGTTTGTCACTTTTTACTTTTGTGTGTGTTTTTTTCTCACAGGACGGCAGGGTGTGGGTCCTCGGGCCTGCCCTGAAGTCTAGGGGGAGGATGTGTGGCCCCTACGGTTCCTTCCTCCCCTGTCCCTAGGGGGTTTTCTCTTCGGGAGAGTTCCATCCCCCTGGCCTAGTACTTGGATGTCTGGCCTTCGGCTGGGCATAAGGAACGGTGGTCACCAGGCCTTTTGGCCAGGAACCAAATGGGAACCATTGTCCCTTTCAGGAGCTTTGTGCCCCAGGGGGATCAGGGTAGCCTTCCAACCCCTTCGGGGGTAGGACAAAAGCACACCCTTAAGTGCACTTTTTGTGTGGTGTTTTGCACTTGCATTTTTTGTGAATCTTAAGGGTTTTTTCGTTATAGCATTTACGTTTGCGGAACCTTAAGCAAAAAAGACACTGATGTGTGCACATGCTTGGGAGGGGATCACCTGTAGAGAGGGAGAGATTGAAGATGTGAGTGAGGGAGCATAGGATAGAAGAAGAGGGTGACCATAGTAGTTGTGAGGGGACAGGATCCAGGGGGCAGGTGGTGAGACAGGGCTTCTGAGAAACCTTAGTGACCTCTTCAGTAGTAGCAAGGTCAAAAGAGGAAAGTGTTGAGGGAGGTTTAGTATAAGGTATGCTAAGTGGGATAGATGTCTATGTAGCAGAGATTCCCTCTACGAATTGCAAATAATTGTTTGAAATGATTGATGCAATCTCGTAGCAGTGAGTGAGGTACTGGGTGGAGAAAGTAGAGTTAAAAGTAGATGAGAGACGAGGAGGGATGACAAGGTATTAATAAAAAGTGACAAAGTAGGCTTATTTGGCAGCATGGAAGGAGGAATTGTATGTTAAGAAAGCAGATTTATATCAGGTGAAAGCTTGCTGAGATTTGGTTTTATGCCACAATCACTCCAGTGCACGACTATATTGCTTAAGATTTCTGGTGTCGTCAATCTGCCAAGGTTGTAATGGTCGGGTCCTGATACTTCCTGTTGTTAGAGGAGCAAGTGAGTCTAGTGTGGATGAAAGTGAACTGTTGTAGACAGCAGTGGCCAGGGCAGGACAGGGGAGAGATTCTGTCATAGAGGCGATCAGTTGCAAAGTGGAAAAGAGAAGGGTTTAAGTTGTGAAGGTTTCTTTTTTTTTTTTTTTTTTTTTTAAAAGAAGCTTTATTGGGTTTTATTGTACACACAAAGTAACCAACGATGAGGTTTGTCAGTATTCATAGCGTGGCAACATGCCAAATCAGATGAATAAATTCCAGGATAACATTTTACTCATAAACATATTACAGAAGCCCCGAAAGAATCCGAGAGGGAATGGAGAAGTTTGGAAAGAAGAGTATCTATGGGAAAATA